AGAGCAGCAAGTGCAAAAATACGAGGCTAAAAGATAAAAAATAAAAGATATACTTAACACTTGCACATCGAGTATGTGTGAATTTTTGAAAATTAGGCGTGTGCTGAAGTTGACGTTGTGTTAATAATGCCTCCTTATCAGTCAAGAGCTGACAAAGGAAGTTGGTTTATTCTGCCTGCCTGTTGTCTGCTGAGCTCCCCCAAATAATATCGATGCTTGGTTGGCTTTGATGCTTAATTATTTACGCAGTTAGAGAAGTAGAGACAGAGAGGGAGAGCGGGAGAAGCTAACAAGTAACTGCTGAATCGTTGCCAATCCTTTATTGCCAGATAACTAAAATGTATCAAGTAGCAAACATAACTTGTTAGTACAAAATGTATAATATTTGATGGCTTCATTATAATTAATAAATAGCTAAAGCAAATCAATTATCTGTATTGACAACAGCAGCACACATTTCTTAGTAACAATTAAAAATTATACAATTGATTAATTACCACATTTATCTGGCTCGATTAATTGTTGCATTTTGTAGCGCACTTTTGCGATAAGGCAAATTAAATAAAATAAATTTATGTGTTCCATTAAATTTGTTCTCAATTTTCCCTTGACTGACCTCTGGACTGTGTGTGTAAGTTTGTGTGTGCGTGTATCATTTTGCCAGTTCATGTCTCAACATGATTTACGAAGGCTCTCAACTGTAAGCAGCAGCAACAGCAGCAGCAGCAGGAGCAGCCAGAGTATCCCTATCCCTATGCCTCTATCCCTCTATCCGTATTCCTAACTATCACTTCCAAGGAGCTGCTGTTGCTGCTGCCGCATATATGAAAAATTACACGCATATATCACTTGAATGGCGCACAATTTGTGCAGATAGACACACACACCCGAAAATTCATTGAGGCGTAATAACAAAGCCAATGAACACCTTGATGACAGTTAACAAAGTCAACACAAAGGCGACGGTCCTACCAACTCATAGACCCGGCGACGTCTTCGTCCAAAATAAAAACAAAGCAACAGCAACAGCAACAGCAACTACAACAATTACAACAACAACAAGAACTACAACAACAAGGAACGCAAAAACAAAAGGCGAACAGAGAGCGCAAATTACAGACAAGCTTATTACGCAAATATCGCTTAATTAGCAGGCAGACATCAGAGACGCACAAAAGTAGGCAACAGTTGCCCGACTTGGCCAAGGCAGACAGGCAAAATAAATAAAAGCAAAAACTACACTAACTCACACACAAGCACACACAGTCTCCTCCTCTCTTCTATATATATACATATATATATATATATATATTTATGCGTATGTGTTAATATATATATATATACAGATACACTTATGGCACCTTTTCCCAGGCAAAGCATAATATATATAGACTGGCTTTAACTATTTGCCTGCACGGCAACAACTCACAGCAAAAACAACAACATCAAGAAAGAAATAACAATTCTTACGACTGACAAAGATTAAATACCCTAGAAGCTATACTTATGATTTCTTAAGTAATATTCGTCAACTAAAGTTTGAATGATAAAACAAACAGCAAAATAAATTTCAAATTAATTATTAAATTAGTTTCAATATTTTTTGTTCTTTTCAGCTCTCACTTTGACACAGTTAGACATATTTAAATGGAGTTTTACTATAAATTCTATGTATGAACTCATAAAGCATATTTTAATACAGTTTCAGCTGTCTTCTTCACCGAATTAGATATTTGATAATAAAACTTATGACTAACCACGGCTAGAGTATCACAAGCGTTGTTTGATGAGTAAATGTTGAACTATGAAATGCTTTGCATGCAATGCAGATTTTATTTTATTTACAATTTACAGGCAAACAGAAAAGCAATTTGAAATAGATTTCGTCAGTTATTAAAAGGTTTCAATGCGAGAGAACATTCAACTTCAACGATACAATTAAATGACAGAGAGCCCAACTTTGGTAGTTGTATTTGAGTTGGTCAAAAATTGTAATATACCCTTGTGGGCCTTGTTGGAAAGAAAACAAGCTGGTAGATATTCATTCCGATGGCAGGCAGGCAGGCAGGCAGCAACATGTGAGCGACGAGAAATTTACTTGGCCAACAGAATATTAAATGCCGCGTGGGAATTCTCGCTGTTTATGGCTGCAGCCTGAGTTTGCAACCACAACCAGCTCTACTGGGGCAAGGCAAAAGGGAAATGCCACAGACAGAAAAGCACAAGACACAAGGCAAAAGGCAGTGGCAGTGGCAGAGGCGTGAGGGGGTGGCGGGCGGGGGAAGAGCTGGCAATGGGTCGCCATGCTTCAGTAATTTCACTTAAGTCATTATGAGCCATTAATAAAGCCTGTGTGCTGCCAATATGTGTGTGTGTGTTTGGGTGTGTATGTGTGTGTGTGTGTGTGTTGGCCAGCTCAACTGCATAACTAGTAGCTTACATAGGTATAAATGTATATAAATGTACATATAACTGTCTGACTGAACCAACTCCTCATTCCAATTGCTCCTCCACAATCCACTAGCTCATTCGTTAGCTATCGGAAGTCAACCACGTGGATGATGCGCCAAATGTCTGCCACAGATGGTGATTCGAGTCAGTTTTCTGAGTGTTTGTTATTTTTTGCCATTGACTTTCTTTCTTTTTTTTACGCACACGCTTGAATTTGTGTAGTCAACTTTTATTTGTGCATGGTGAATCGGTTTTATTGCAGTTTATCACTGGCACAGAAAGAAAATGCATTTTAAATCATATGAACATCATTATAAACGACATGAAAAATCATTTTCCTAAAATAAACTTTACCATTTTTATTATGAATTTTGCTCATTCAGCAAATTTGTACTCCTTTAGTTGTGCTGCTGTCAGCTTGTGTATCAAAATGAAATTTCTACGAATCTGTCACTGAATCAATTTTAAATTCGAAATAAATACCAGTTAAGTCCAGTTAAGATATAGATGTTTATCTCAAAGTACATTCAATTAAATTATAATTATCATAACGAATTCGCAGTAAAACGAGAAAGGATTAAGGTCTGATCTTAGTTCAGCTATATTTTCTAGTGATTTTGAGAGTATTCAAAATAGAACGGATGAGTTAAGTAATACAATAAGATAAGTTAGAGCTTCAAAATAAAATCTATTTATGGACTGTAACATATTAGATGCTAGAAACCCATCCATAAACTCATAAAATATCAATAATATCAATGAATTAATTTAGTATATATTTATTGACAACTTAAGTATCATTTTCCAATAGTTAAACTTTAATTAAATATGGATTAGAATATCAATGAAGTTTGTGTTTCATAACACAGAAGCAGAGAAGGTGAAGCAACAGTTTCCCTTCTTTTCATTAAAGTAGGGGTCCGAAATAATGTTGTGTATCTACGGATATAATAAATTCACACGAATATGCATTCTTGTTGTCTCTCCAATTCCCAGTTAGGAGGGGGTGTGTCGTCATTAATTATGCAATCAACAACCACGATTAATATTCAGTTTCCAGCAACCTGCGTTTTCGTTAAACTACCAAAATGTTGAATATCTTAAAATTAAAATTTGAATTGTCATCTTCAAGTGACTATAGTCAAAGATAGAGTTTATCTAGAGTTCAATTCTAATCTCAAAACTAAATTTAATATTTTACTCGACTTGAATTTCAACTGAGTGTAAATAAAACACGTTTAGTTCAAATTGAATTAGGCTTAAAAAAAAGAAAGAAAAGTAAATGCTCTGAAAAGCGAGGAAAAACTTTAGCTATGATAAGGATATAGTAGATTTATTTATTTATTACTTCAATATGACATAAAAAGTGGAGAGTGTGCCCCAAATAATCCCCGTCGAAAGACTGCTCAGCTCCGTTCAGTTTGTGGGTTCAACTTCGATAACTTTAACCGTAATCCATCTTTCAATATATATATATATATTAATATATATATATGCATAAGTGCGAGTATTATATTGTTTGCCTCGCGCACTAAGCACCCAAAATTGACTTTCACTTTCACTTTTGTGTGTGGAAAACTTTTAGAATTTTTTGCGCTAAAGCTTCTTCTTCTTCTTCTTGCTGTGGCTGTTGTTGTTGTTGGGCCCCGCCTGCATTTTCGATGAAGTTTTTGCCATGTTTTACCACTTACGTTGCCAGCTGGACCGTTAGACGGACGGACACTCTTACTTTCATAACCAAAAAAAATTGAGCCTGGCACTCATCAGACATGTTGCCTCCCTCGTCTTCTCTTTCTCTCTCTTTCTCTCTCTTCGAATGCAACTCTTCTACGCCTCCTTATACTAAATAATTACGCTCTCTTATATAGCTGCTCGTATTTTTCTAGCGTTGCGTTGCATCTCTGCTAAAGTATTTCAAACTTAGATTCAGCTATTGTTATTGGCTGTGTAGCAGAGTTGTGTGTAAGAGTGCGTCTGCACAATTCGAAAACAATAGCAGAGTTGCGCACCTCTTCGACGGTAGCTGGGCGCAGGCGCCGTGGTTGCTGTGCGAGAGTCGTATCACAGCTTCATACGAAGTTCGCAACGAAGTCGCTGTACTAAAAATAAATACAATTCGTTTTTAGACAAACTGAGAGATGTCTCGAGAAAAATATTCCTCTAAACTCTAAAAAATAATATAATAAATTTAAAACTCATTAAAATGGAATGCGCTCAAACGCATTTTGAAAATTATAAGTTGTGGGTAAAATTTGAAACGTATCTGAAATGCAACACAACATTTTATTTGCAACCTGTTCCGTCTGTGACTGGCTTAGCAATGACGCGAACCGGCCATAAAACGCCACAGCGTTAGCAGCTTGTATAAGTGAGCGTTTGAGTTCGAGTTCGCTTAGCCACCTGCCATCAAGTTCGAGTTGGCTGTGAGCTGCGCTTCGCTTTGCGTTCGATCTGTCTGATTTGGATTTGGATGTATCTACGAAGGCGGCATTTCCAGCTGCGTTCAGTCTTCAACGGTCTGCGCGTTGTTCACGTTGTTTACGTCGTGTTTATCTCAAGCAGCAGCTGCGAATCAAGTGCAACACAAATTTCAGTGAAGTCGAATCGAATCGAAACGAGACAACAACAATAACAACTGGAAAAGCCGCTTAAATTTATTTGCATAGCCAAATGAGTTTATCACAAGTAGCCAACAGTTAAAAAATACGCTTTCTGTGGGTGTCTCTCTGTGTCCCTGTGTGTGTCTGTGTGTGTGTGTGTGTGTGTGTAGTGGAGTTGTGTGCAAAATGTTTGCTCAAATGCATCATGGCTTAAATGCAGGGCCAAGCCTAAAGCAGGCAGCTGCTTGCAATTGAAAACACAAAACATATAAAAGTATCTGCAACTGTAAACAGCCAACAACAAAAAAAAAGAAACCAACACACAAAAATTCCACGTGTTGAGCAACCAAAACCAATCAAAAAAAAGTTAGTTAACAATCCCAAGAAACATAGCAACAGCAACAACAACAACAACAACAAGAAATGCATTCATCAAACGGCGGCAAGATGCAGTTTTGGATAACTTTGACATTTGCATCGCTTTTGGGTAAGTTATTAAGCCGAGCGTCATGTGCGCCAAAAAATGTATCTCATAGATGCCTCTGACCGCTGCGCAAAAGTTCATGACATTTGACTGCTGCTGCGGCCACAGCAAAAAAAAAAAAAATAAAAATAAAAATGTATAAAATACATATAAAATAGAAGATGAGTTTCAACAGCGGCTATCTTCTTCTTTTTTCCATATGAATTGTGTGCTGCGCTCGCCGACTCGACAGATATGTTCAGATACAAAACTCCTTTTGTCTGCCTGTCTGCCGCTCAGTTTGTCTGCCTGTCTGTCTGTCTGTCGGTCTGTCTAGCTGGCTAACTGGCTGACTGGCTGCTGGTTTTTCTTGTGTTTGCTGTTGACATTTAAACACTTGTTTTTGCTGTCGCTGTCGCCGTCGCTGCTGCTGCTGCTGCTGACTGTGGTTTTACTTCACAGCGCCAAAAATACGTATAAAAATCGCAGTTTTTTTTGTTTGTTTTCTGTTTTTTTTTTGTTTGTTGGCCAAGTGTTGCGCTAACACACGTTGGCCGCCCCGCACCACCTCCACTGGCCTCCGTTGCCCATGGGCTCATTTTAAATGCAAAAGTTTTTCGTATAAATTTTTTTCCTCAGTTATTTTTCTCAACATTTTTGCAGTCTCAACTTTACTTATTATTTCGCATTTTGTTGTTGCTGTTGTTGTAGTCTGTGCTTTTTTGCAATTGCTGCTGTTTATTTGATTTATGCGACATAATTCGAGGCGAACTTTGTGGCACACATAATTTAATTTTTGCCCAAGCATTTTGTTGTTGCCACTGGTGGCACTGCCACTTCTGCTGATGCTACCCGGTTGCGGCCTGCAGCCAGCTCCTGTTTTTAATTATTTGCCATTTTGCATTTTTAACATTGTACAGTTAGCCGCATTTGTTGCATACAGTTTGCTTGCCAATTTGTTTGACTGCTAATTGAAAACTATTTGCATAAAAAATGTAAAATATTTAACAACTTTTATAGATACTTTTTTGGTTGCGTTTGGTTTGTTTTTCCATTTTAAATGGGCCGTTACAAAACTTCTGCTTTTGATTTAATGCTAATGAATTGAGCGCGACACAATGGAAAATGCATTCAAATGGATTGTGTTGCATGCATTTTTGTAAATCGAATCAGACATTTCTGTTTGCGGCATCATCTGCTGTCGTCGGCATTGTTGGTTAACACAATTTTAATGATTTTACCACCACATGACGAATGTATTAGTGAGCATTGAAAATCTTTAATTAACATCCCGTTAATAGAACCCAAAGAGCGTTTATTTACTTTTATGATCTGAAGCGCCGCAAGACAACAAAAAGAAGAAGAGAAAAATAAGAACAAAACAAATAAATAGATAAGAGAGATTAAGCTCATAAGAAAATATATGTTTTGTTTCTTCAAAAATAATATTTTCTCTTTTATTAAATTTGCTTTAGCTGGCAAATAGCAGCAGAGTAGATTGTCTACCAGGCTTCGCAAAACAAATCAAATTGATGCGGCATAAAATGTATTTTTATTTGCTGTATTCATGTTTAAACACAATTTGTTTCTTATTAAATATACAATTAAGAACTGTCAGAAACAACCATATATAATATAAGAAAATAAGTTTGAAACACGATCGATGAAAATCATGAAAAACAATCTTAAAGGAATTTGAACAAAAAAAATATTAAAAAAATCGATTTTCGTACACATTGTTTAAGTATGTGTAATTTATGTATTTGCGAAAATTGCTTAAGAATTTGAATGGGACCACAGTTAATTTGGTACCTTCGTCAGAGCGACATTGAAGAGGGCCCATCAGTGAGCAAAGTTGCAGTTGGCATCATTATTAGCAACGGCAGCTGGAGCTGCAACAGCTCCAGTTTTGGTTGGCACACGCCCAGGGATGTATGTGAATACGGTGGATACGAGGAGCAGCTGCCTCCGCATGTGGTCGTCGCCGAGCTTCCATTTTGCACGCGTTCAACATTTTTACCAGCCAAGCTGCAAAAGGCAAACAAGCCAAACTGGCAAAATGGCAGGCCGAGAAAGAAAAAAAAAAAAAAACAGCATAAAATACAAAATACAAAATACGGCAACACAAACATAAAAGTAGAGAAAAACCGCCAGGCAAGCAACCAGCAGACAGGCTGTTAAAAAGAAATACACCTGCCCCAGAGCCCGCAATGGGGCAAACACAGTTTAAGCCAGTCAAATTTTCAACATGTGTAGCAAGCGGCAAAAACCTAGCATACAAAAAAAAAGGCGGCACACAAAAATTATGATTACGCTACTTTTTTTTGTGGATGTACTTCTCTCTTTTTGCTTTTTTAGCACAACTAGAAAAATTGAGGATGTGGTTAAGCGTTGAAAGACGGCGTGCTACAGGAGGAGGGGAGCGGTAGGAGGGGAAGGGGGGGGATGAAGTTGTATAGAAAAAAGTGTAGAATTTACAAAAATCTCTTTTGCCTACACACTCGTAAACGATAATGGGCAGAGAGGGGCAAGCCAGAGGCTTTCAGCCAAATATGTAGGTTTATGTGCGACTGTGAATAGATATACATATATATATATATATATATATACACACATACGGGCGACGTTGCTATATAATCCCAGCGATTTACCTAGGCAAATTGAATTAAAGCTAAAACCTCGGCTAAAACAGGCAGACGGCTCTTTGGCTCTCTCTTGGCTTATAGCTGGACTTAGCACCGATTTGGCTTAAAGCCGTTCCTAAAATGTGTTTGGCATAAAACTTTTGACGCGCTTGTCTAAAACTGGACACTGTGTGCGAGTGTGTGGCAAGCAGTTTGTAGTGCATTGAACTGACTCGGATTTAGCTCTATGCGGCTAATCGGTGGGCAGCACAAGCAGCAGCAGCAGCAGCAGCAGCAGCTGCTTGGAGTACTTAGCCACTTGCTCTGATTAAAAAATACGGCTGCGAATTATGTTGAACAGGTTATTAGTTAGGAGAGAGGGTTGGCAGGGGAGGGGTGGGGGGCACACAGCCCACATATCATATGTGTGTTTCTGAGAGTGCAGTAATATGAGGAATATGAAAAGCGGAATAAGAGTTCTGGCTGAAAGGGGCACACAAGTCTTGACTTGAACTGACCGCAATTGCCTTAGCAAATTGGAGCTGTTTAGCTGTGTGCCCCACTTGGAACTGGCCCAAAACTTCTTGTGTAATATTCTTAAGCACTTTTGTAGTACTTAAAATATGCTTAGCATACGGTAAAGAGCCACTCGTTTGCCATACTTAATTGGGTTGTATGTATGACATTTTGGCTTACAAAAATATATATTAATAAATAATCATAATTAAATATTCATATGAGAAACATAAATTCTATGATTGGTAATCCAATATCACTCTCAGCTTATTAAACATTATAATATTAGCTCATCTTGACCAGAATCACAACTCATGCCATTTATTAAAGTTTCCGTTTTGGCTTACTGCTCATTCCCAAGCACTTTTGTCTATATATTGTTGCTGCTGTTGGCTGCTGTTGGCTGCTGCTGCTGAATATATTCATTTAGTTTGTGTACCTTGTGTGCTGCTTCTAAGTAAAAGCTATCTACAGCTTATGCTTAGCTGTCACCATGCTTTCCCAATCCTCTCTCTCTCTCTCTCTCTAGTATGGAATACATACATATATAAGTATATGCAAGCTCATGGCGAGCCTGACGATTGCAACTTTCCCAGCCAACCAAATTCCAAGTGTGCTCATGCTTGCGGACCGGGCCCAAACCCACAGCACACAGCATACAGACCCTTGTCGAGGCATTTGCCTAATAGACCTACCAATGTGTGCAGCTTTGCTGAGGGTTTCATCTGCTGCTGCTCCAATGACGCCCCCCTCCTCCCCTCCCCTCTCACTTTCCCCCGTTTCTGTGTTGTGTTGGATAATTACAACCCCTGTCTTACCTTTTTTTTTTGCCTTTCTTTGCATTTGTCCATTTGTACAACTCAGTCCAGCAACAACTTGGAGACCCGCACAAAATGCTGGTCATTTGTTTTTATGTAAATAAAATGCGGCACCAAGTTGTTATTGCTGCCTTATGTTGTATTTGTTGTTGTTGCTGCTGCTGCTGATGCTGATGTTGTTGTTGTTATTTGCTTATGCATATTTGCCTGTACTCAACGAGTCGCTCAGTCTGACACTCTTTTTATGCAATATAAATTTATATATGTCTGTACGTAGTTGTTGGTATTCCTGATGTTGTTGTTGCCTTTTTCTTCTTCTTTTTTTGTATGTTTTGCAAACATTTTGCTGTTTGTAACGCCTTTGGCAGAGGCTGGTCAAAAGCGCACAGCATTTTCCTTTTTTCGTCATATGTTGCTGTTGCTGTTGCTGTTGTTGTCGTTGTCTTTTTGTGCAAATTCACTTCCGCCACAGACTTTTGCCAACATCCAAAAAAAATTAACACGATGAAAAAAAAAAACATAAAATAATAATAACGAAAAGCAGCAGAAAATTGCTCGCAACTGCGTCTTTATCTTTTTCTTTTTTTTTTTTTGGGACTTTGCTTTTTTGCTCACATTTTCGTTGTGCAATAAAAATAAATAACAGTTTATGAAAATTTGCCAAAAATATCAACAGCAACATCAAGCTGAAGAACAACAACAGCAGCAGCAGGAACAACAACAACAGCAACAATAATGTGAAGTGACTTTTCCTGTTTTTGGCGGCGTCGGCTTTGGGAAACGCGTTCTGCTTGGGTTTCCATTCTATTGTAAAAAGCTTTTTCGTAGCTGCCCATTTAAAAGGCGTTGACAGCAATGAGAAGTGCCACCCCTCAAACCACTCCCCTCCCTCCCCCTCATCATTAAACACCCCACATAGCAAATTTGTGCTAACGAGTTGTCGTCGCTCGTTTGGACTGCAGAAAATGTACAAACACATATAGCATATAAAAAAAAAATAAAAAAATATAAAAAAACAACAAAAACAACACACACCCACAAAATAAAGAAGAGCCCATCTGAACTG